ATATATATATAGCACCCTGAATGTGATTCCCAAGGAGAGATACTCGCTAAAAACTCAGGATCAAGTCGGTGGATCAGCTGAAGGACGATGCATCCATCACCTCACATGTCGGCCCCTGATGGATGTTTTTCCCATCACTTCAGGGCATGACTTTCACATGCTGCTTTCTGATGTAGATAGCTCTGCTTTAGCCCTCTATTTGTCATGATGTTTGGTGGAGGGAAGGGAATTAAAAAAGGCGCACAGGAAACAGATTCAAAATCCTAAAAAAAACCTTTAATTTTTACTTTAATTAAGCTCAGAAAGTTCAAAAGGCAAAACAAAGATTAACCACCCACGGTGAAATAGTTTCAATATTGAGTCTAATTATAGGCCCCATGTAGTCTGAACACCTCAGGCTACATCGAGACAGAATTCTGCCCTGGAAGTTCAATTTTTATAAAATTGAAGATCTTCCACCAGCTTTCATGCCAGAGTTGTTATTTTATTTGTTTTTTGTTTTTTTTTTCATTTTTTGCTAAGAAAAACAGGGTTGATTCCAGTTAATTATAAAAGTTCAAGATCTTGTGCAATAAACAACACCCTAGATTATGTGCTGGTAATGTCTTTCTGCTGCAATATCTCTAAGTTTGAGAATAATTCCTGTACAACTGACTGAATTATAGTCACTGTTTTGTGTTTTTAAGTTAGTTGGCTGTGGCTTCTATCCAAGACTGAGGTGGCTCCAGAGGTTAGTCACTTATACAGTACCTGTACATCTTGTGATTATTCCTTCTGTTTCTTTAGAATCTATCCAGTAGTTCATGAGATACAGTATTTTGCTCAGACAAAGTTAACCTCTGAATAGTCTATAATAAAATTCCAAACAAAGATCTTATACAATCATTTAGGGCTTTCACTGTATTGTGGATCAATATGAGCTACTTTTTAAATCAAAATTAATAAAATTTACCTGTTTTATATTTTTGTTCTTATTTCAGTTGGTTATGGCCAATTAACTGTGGTGGCTACTGAAGTTGGGTTGACTTAAGCAGTTGAAGTAATTAATTTCTGCAAGTTTCATTTAAATTCATTGAATAATTTATGGGATAGTTTGCTAACAGGCACACAAACAAACAAGCGTTTGCTGTGATTCATGCTAAATTATCAAAAAGCCCCATCTGGGCTTGTATTGAATTGAATTCTTGTCCCATTTCCTCAAAAAAAAAAAGAACACTTTTAGACACTAACAAATATGTTGCTAATCATCCACTGTTAAACTGACAACACCATGATAAAAGTTTAGCCTGTCACACAGTCCCAGTCCCTGATACCTAAATTGACAGGGTTTGTTTTACACATTAGGCCAGCTCTAGTCCTGATAATAATTTATTTGCCTCATGGTTTAGGACCTAAACCATGAGGCAAATGTTCCTAGTAAAGTGTACCTGGACAAAGTCCTGTGTTGCAGCTCTGGCTCTGTGTTTGTTGGCTCCTACAGTGGGGTCCTAAAGGAGAGGCCAGGGGCTGTCTGTAGCGCTGCCTGACTCCACCGCTGCACGGCTCTGCACATGCAGTCCAAACACTCCACACACTCCACTGGCACAGATCTGGAAGAACAGAGTGATCAGCACGACGATGGTGAGTTTTATGTAATTATACAGACTGAAAAATAATCAGTTAATGATGTGTTTCACATATTTCTATTAGGAAGATGACGCAATTTTTTTAAAAATTTTTGGCACGAGTGAAATTTAGTACCCGTAACCTTATTAATCTCTACAGTATATGCAGATGTAAGGGATGAGTTATTTATGCAAATAACTTATCTCACACTTCTCATAACTAAGCTATGAGAGAAAATTTTACCAAGGTTTCTTCTCATTACTTAATATTTGTCTGTGCAAAGTGAAGTGACACAATTAGGGAACTCAGACATGGTTCAAGTTGATTCATAAAGATTATGCAATCATTTATTTACACAAATTGAACAAAATCATAAATTACACCTGATTGTGAGCTATTTATAACAAGCGTCTAAGTTAAAGTGAGGTAAAACCCGCGTCCGAATTTCTTTTCACATTAAAACTCAGATTACTTATGTATAAACAGTAAAAGTCAGTTCTGATGTTAAGACTGGACTATTCACTGGCACTTCACTTAGTTGTTGGCAAGGGTAAAGGGTAAAGGTAAAGATAATGAAATTAAAGGTTAGTGTTTCTATTTTAATTTTGAAAGTGTTTCAACCGGATTCAGCACGTCCCCTCTGCTCTCAGCTTCAAGTTGACACGTCACCCACGAACACGTCAGCGTTACCTGGAGAGTCTGCTTAAGAACACCTGGTCTGGCTGTCTCACCGACGACCCTTCAGGAAGCTTGTCCAGAAATGGTCCTTAGTGGAAAGGTGTCTTTCAGGTGACTTTAGTCCGCTTAAGCTGGGCCAGAGAGATTCCAGCTGTGGTCCGGTCGTCTTTCAAAATAAAAGTCTCCCCCCCAGGGAGTTTAAAAACACTTGAGAGACGGGTGTCTCTATGTGGACATGAGGCCGGCTTGCCTCTGTCCTGGACTTCAGGCCACCCTATTTAGCTGAATGGGTGTTACCTGAGGCCCAGCTGTTTCTCCGGGGAGAACCAGCTCCGTCCTGCTGCTTCGGCTTCAGCAAGAAGACTCTGCCTGTGTCTCAAGGCGTCCGTCTGTTAGTAAGTCAGAGTTGACTAGATAAGAACTCAGTCAGAAAGGAAAAGGAGATAAGCGAGTTGCCAGCTGTAAGTGAAGGTCACTTGCTCTGCTGTTTAAACAGACATTATAATATCTTCTCTGCTCCTTTTTGCTGTAAGAAATCACTGTAAACATTTATCATGATTAATTAAACCTTCTGCTTAAATAATCATCTGAACTTGTGTCCATATAAATGTAAGATTTTCTTAAGAAAAACTCAAAATTATATTACTGATGTTTCAGTAAAAATAAAACAGTGATTTATAAAAACACAATGAAAACCTGGTGATGATTCTCTGTGATTCATTCAGTCTATTTCAGGCACGATAAAAKAATAGAAGTGATTCTATATTCTTTGTGACATGTCATTATTATGATTAACAAATGCATAAACATTTTAGTTAAACAACCAATGAATCATGAACAGAACCGATTGTTTCTGTTTAATATCTGATTAAGAGAACTGAAGTCCTCGTATAGGTTGAAATGACCCGTCATGGCCTAAAATAAGAGTCCAGCGTTCCTGCCTTTCTCTCAGGCCTGTGCGAGACCTGCTTTGAGGCTGGAACTCCTGTTTCTTCACTCGAGGTGACCCCTACACAGACATGCACAAAACACAATCGTTTCAATAAACAAATGTTAATGTTAAGTTGTTTGAGAAATATTTAAAAAGCTGCATGGTTACATTCTTTAATCTCAGTTATTATAAACTGGTGACCAATCCAGTTTTGTCCCCACCTCTCATACTTTTTGTAATAAATGTCATATTAGGAGAACCAAACACGTGAACAAATTTTATGGAATATTTCTCACATGATTAAAAACCAGTATTTCAAGTTATTTAAAAATGAACCTTTTATAACAAATATATGTAAGTAGATATTTTATACATACAGTATCTTCTCTATATTAGGTACAACTTGCTGGTATCTGGTTTAGTGGCAAATATTCAACAAGGTGTTGGACACATTCTTCTGGGATTTTGGTAAATACTGACATGATTACATCATCCAGTAGCTGCAGGATGGTCAGCTCCTCCTCCATGATGTGACTCATCCAAGCAGCCGATCCTTTTTTTCCTCCCTCTTTTTTAATTGCTCATTGTCCAGTTTGGGTGATTCTGTATAAACCGTAGTGTTGGTTTCCTGCTCTTAGCTGATGAATATGTATCTTATAAAACAAGCCAGTGACTTCACTACTGCAGTCAACCATGCAGCTCGGTATAACATATCAGTCTGACTGAATCATCTGCGTACAATCTTTAAATGTCAACTAAGTGTCAAACTGTTGCAGCAGAATTAGGAAAAGTGGAATGGAGCAAAACGGCACCGCACTTTCCCTTTTCTTGCAGTGGAGTAAAACAGAACAATAACTGCAAAAGGAAAGCATTTTTTGTATTATAAGGAAAAAGGAGCATACTTTTGTAAAACACCCGTTTACCTCTGCAGATGTTAATATGTGGACAGACCCTCTCTTCTACCAGTGGTCCCAGACACTGGCTTTCCTCTTCTGTCACGACAGGTAGACCAGAATCTAGGTCTAAGCAGGCTCGGAAACGTTTCTGAACCGAGACCATTTTTGTACCACCGATGACCCCTTCTGTAAGGAGCTGCTCAGAGGGTCTGCAGGGGGAGCAGGGAGTCCACTCGGACCACTCGCTAAGGACAGCTGGATGAAGGGAAAAAAAAGTGGGGCAGAGTTAAAGGGCAACGATGTGATTGGACTTACGCAACAGAGAATTCTTATATAAGTTTTTTTAACTTCCTTACCTTCACACTCTCTCATATCACAGTGAAAAGTCCCGTTATGACAAAGGCTTGAGAAAGAAAAACAAATAATAAGCTCAACTGAATCAGAAAACGTTGAAGATAAAACGTACATGCATACAGGCAGTGGATAAAACAGACAAACATCAGATTGCAGCTATACGTTCTGCAGTGTGAGGCATAACGGTCTTTATCGTTTCAGAAAACAAAAACAAATTAATTTGTCTGACACAGGAGGGCTGATATAAAAGCCTTTTGATTTGAACAGTTTGGTCTTCACCAAGTAGTGCAGTCCACAGCAACTGTGGCCCCTTGAGGGACAGTGACAGGTGTTGGAGTTTGTCCTGAAGCCTGGTACTGCAGGTAGACACACCCACAGTCCTGTGGAGGAACACAGCTCCCATTCTGCTGCAGCAAACCCTGGAAAGAAAAATTCTCATGCATTTATCATTTTTACATTTCATCTCAGTCTATACAGAGAGTAAAATTTCCCTGAAATTAATTTGGAATTACATTAAACCTTTTTTTGTTGTTGTTGTGAATCTTTTTTATGAACATGTCTTTGCACTGACACAGAACTCTGTGAAGTCATGACTCATTCTTTGCTGCTTCTTTTACATCATCGGTAAATAAGCTATAACTCAACACAAACATTAATGTCAAAACATTATTCAGATGTCTGAACGCCTTGTAAATTTTAGTTTGCGGTCAAATGTCTGACAGCCCATCGTGTGAGCAGATAACCAACATCCACTCACGCCGACACTTTTAGACACACTTTTTACTGCCTGATCTGAATGCTTATGAAAAGGAAGTTTGCTCAGGCTGGTTTTGGTGTTATCAATGTCAATGTCAGTCTTATTTCTGAACAACAACAACATGGTTGACCAAAGGGCTAAAAACTAAAAAGAAAAACCTAAAGGAATTCAGAAAAACACATTAAAATCAACAAGTACAATAAAATACGTTAAAGCACACTAAAAACAAGGAAACACCACAAAACAATCGAATGGAACTCTAACAGGCTTTGCATTGAAAGCCAATGTAAAACAGTGACTTTTTTAGGTGGAATTTAAAAGACTATAAATCAGGGGTGGGCACTCCTGGTCCTCGAGGGCCGCAGCCCTACAGGTTTTATGTTTTTCCCTGATCGAACACACCTGATTCAGACATTAAATTACCTCTTCCAAGTTCTGCTGTATGGAGGAGCCAAACTGACATAACTAGAAAAAAAGGCAGAAATATGTAAATGGACCAATAAATAAATTCAATTAAAAATGCACTAATTAAATTTAAAAAGAAGAGCTTTATCTCATGTTTTATAATTTAATTGATCTTCATATTTATTTTTCCAACTTAGTTCCAACAACTAATATCGTTTTGCACATAATTTACATTTCACTGTTATTTACACACACACAC